ACACACTTTTTGCTGCACTTCATCCCCTAAATGAGTGTACAGGGTGAGGGCTAAGAGCAGATTATCCTCTCCTAGCAGATGCTTCACACTTCCCTCAGCTGGCCTGAGACTGTAACACTCCTCCTCTCAAGGAACACACATCCTAAAGCTTTTAATTCACTAACCAAGTTGTGTTGTGTTTTTTGGGAGCAGAAACATTAAATATGAGCATGAAAATGGTTTTATACACTGCGTATGCTAATAATAATAATAAACATCCACTGGACATGAGAGATCAGTGTAAGACTGCTGCTAGTTGAATGGCTCAATTAGGGTACCCAGCACTTTTAGACTAAGTAGACTCAGTGTTCACAGAATAATTTCACAGCTATCCTTGAAAAATCCCTCCCTCACTACCCTTAGGAAAATGGCACATCGTTGTCACTAAATAGAAATCTTATCTCCTTGGTTGGTAGGTAGAAGAGAGGCATCAATGTTGCTTCACATTGTTCAAGGCAAATCAGTTTATCATTCCCTTAAGCAGTATGACAGGTAAAAAAAGACACACATGATCCAGATCTAGAAGACTTTCTGAAGTACTGTCAATTTAAGCTAGAGCCCAATCCCATGATGCACGTGAGTCTCTACTCCCAGATAGCTCCAGTGACACTTTGGGACACCCAGGCTGGGTCCTGTGTGAGGCTGTTAGGTGTGGAAGGGGACAGAAATCTGAATGAGGGAACATGTAACTGATCCAACTGGTCCAAGGCCAGGGAAATGCTTGCAAGTGCACAGGGGCCCTATTTCACATCCCTTGTGCTTGCAACATATCACCTAGACACTATGACAATTTTGCCTCCAACTTCAGATACGTTGGTAGAGCTACCCTAGTCTGCCGGAGGGCTGTGTGCAGGTAATCTCCACGACCTCCAGTGGAAACGGTTTAGCTGAAAAGCAGCAGCAGAGAAGTCTGCCCCAAACAGCTGTCTCTCTCTTCTGTACTGTGAAGACTACAGAGTCTTCTCTACTCTGTAAATAAGAGTTCGGTCCTTCCTTTTCCCCATTCTACTGAATACAGGTCACTTTTTCAAAATCTTGAGACAAGCAGATGCAACCTACTGCACTCATTTTACTCCGGCAGCAGGACTCATCTCATTGCCTGAGGACTCTGCCAGATGGCATCCAGCTATCATACCATTTGCCACTCAGACTCCAGCTTGTTGATGCATGGCAGAGCCAGGGAGCTGCTGTGCCCACTCAGTCTCTGGCTGTCATATTATCACATCACAAAGGTTATTATCAGTAGAAGCAACTTAAAGCAGCTGTGAAGAGTTCAGCATTCAGTTTTCCAGCACCAGTTCAGAAGAACAGGGGTGCTGCATTAGACCGGTTTAAACCTTTCTCTTGCATATCCAGAACTGCACTTGGTGACAAAGGACATCTCTCACTATGTCTTTGCCATTGTCTAGGCTTTCCCAGCATTTCGTCTAAAATTGCCTACAAAAGTCTTTCGAATTTCATGGTGGATTTTAATCATTTAAATAAACATGCTCCTTTTGTTCAGAAAACGTACAGCTCGGTATACATGCATTCCTGAGAATGGGTTAAAAAACAACCAGACCACACCATCTTTCTCATTATGCAAGTTGTTGAGAAGCACAGGAAAGTGAAATTGCTGTCACTGCATTGTTTCCAGCTTAAGTGGATAGAAGACAGACAGGAAGCTGTCTCTGAGCTTTTTCATTCACTGTTTTATGAAGCCCTAAGGCCTCACTTGCTCTGTAAGAACTTACTGAAATGATGTGCCTATTTTTGTTAAGACACATGCTTTTTAGAATAATGTGTAAACTCAACCCTACATACAGTAATGAGCCTAGGTGGCTGGCTTGACATTCAGACTGATCACTTGTGAAAAATGACAGTCACCATTTGGCAATTTTTTGGCTGGCAGAGGAAGAAAACAGTTTGAAATTCAACTTGATTGACGTAACCTGAAGATGATGAATATACAAAAAAAAGTAACACCAGTCAAATGCAGTGTAGAATAGAGGGCAAGATAGGATTTTGCAGCACTTTTAAGGTCAGAGTTTGCAAATCCTAAAAAACGTGTTAAAAAGAGAGACCAAAGTTTCCAGCGTTTACAGGTTGATAAAACTGTTCCTGTCGTACCCTGAGCATGATTTGCTGTACTGCAGAACAAGTAACACTGCAGGATGTGAGATTTCATTACCAAGAAATGAGATCAGGAATTGGCTGTGACTGAGACAGGTGAAAATCTTTTACCTATAAAAGCTCAAGTGTACTCTGCATTCTGCAGTCTAGACAGACCGCACTGTTTTCTCATCAGTTCTTTCTGCTAGACTGGAGCACTTACTTTTAAATGACCTCTATCCTGCTATCAAGCTGAGAAGCAATGTAACAATGTAAGCCACATCTTCCATTAGCAAGATGACGCATTGCAGAGTATATGACAGGAATCCTCAGAGAATACTTTGGGATTAGAAGTGAAATACTGCACAGATGGGATTGTTGGGTAAGGGAATTCCCTCTGCCCCATATAGGGCTCAGAACATTTAGAGCTTTTACATCAATAGGCAAGATCAGGCCATTTTACCTTGTAAATATTTAAAGTACAGGCAAAAAGACATAACATACTTGAAAATCTGAAAAGATAGAACAGTTACAGAGATACAGATACTTGTGTTGCTCTTTTTTCTCTTAAGTACCAAATATTCAGTGACTTCTAGGGAAGGTGAGGAGGTATGCAAACATATAATGACAAGGACAGAGTTCTCATGCAAACTGTTAGAAGCTAAAGATCAGGCCACATTTCCCTCCTCCATACTAATCTAAGATTGAACCACAATTATGCTCTGGATACACTCACTCTCTCAGCCATCAGCAGTTAAAATCTAGATTTGCTCTCTGGCAGATTACTAGAGCTACAGTATTATCTGCTGTTGAGAAACAGGTTACATAACCTGTAAAGCCAATAAAGCTCCCAGACAAGTCCTGTGTTCACAGGAAGATGCTACGCCTTTCCATCATAGCCAATCTAGCCATTGTTGTCCTCAGTATCAAGAGATCAGGTATCCAGAGGATTTGCAAAGGCACAGAGGGCAACAATGTGCTAACGCCAGGTGAATGCCAAAGGGAGCCAGACCTGACTTGTAAACCCCCCACCTGACATAGGCCAGTGCAAGGTATTAGCACCATGGCACCAAGCTCACTGTTTAAGTATTCCACCAGTAGCTTCGCGTTTCCCTATACATGATTGAGTCTAGCCATCATTTCCATGCTTGGAATTGGATTTTGAAATGCTTGTACTAAACTCCTACAGGAATCTGTGAGCCTCTTTCTCACTAAACATCTCCATTCAGCTCCCTGCTGATCTAATATGCTTTGTCAAAGTTTCGGTATCTTCTTTGGATTATAACACATCTAGCCGATTTATGAGATAACTGGAGTCCCAGAACAGAGTCAGAGTTTGCAAGGTCCCATGAAGTACACCCCTGGTGCCTCACTCTGGGGTCACTACTGACCTCTATTTGCCTAGGGTGTTCCACAGACCCCCAGTGATGCAGGCTTCACACAGCCTCCACAGGGAATCTTTTTCCAGTGTACCACTATCCCTATTTTTCGGCCTCTTAATAGGAAACACGAACTTGTGTTGCTGCAACTGGAAGCTGTCACATCTTGTCCTACCCACCATAGACAAGATTAACCCCTTCTTTTAAGAGCTTTTGAAGACTTGTTTCTCTTGGACTTCCTTCTCCCTTTTAAGGTTAAAAAAAAAAAAAAAATCCAATTCTTTCAATCTTTCCACAGTCCTGCTTATTATACCCTTAGCTGTCCTTGATGCTCTTTATTAAACTTTCACTGGTTGTTCTGCAATTTTCTTGAAGTATAATGCGTAACAACAGACAGTCTTCCAAGATAAAGCTTTGCCTATGCTCACAGAAGTGACGGAATCCCTTCAGACATCTTTCAAGCTTTGCTGCCACTTATACATCACAAGATGACAACTTCTTTGCAAAAGCATGCCACTGTATATTCATCTGCCATTTCCATGCCAAAGCTACTGTTTCCAACTCAGCTTACAGCCATAAAAGGCCAGTACTTACCATTTGGTAGATGACTGCTAATTGGTGGTGTCTGCCCAGTTCCACATGGATTCCCCTACACTCCATGGGCACGGAACATAGGACCATATTAAGTGGTCTGCTACCACACAGCATTAATTTGCTCACACCTCCTAAAAGCATAGGTGGGGACCCCCAGAATGAACAGGCTAAATTTTGTACCATCCATATTTCCTGCATGAAGCCTACTCTTTTAAGACTAATAAAGAAAAGCTCCTGCTGTCTCTGCCTACCTTTTGCAAGCAGACTTCAGCCATCTCAGTGGTTAACTGGTGACTTTGACAAATACTACACTAATTTAAAAAAAAAAAACCAACACCAAAACCAAACCCAAACTTATGCTAAAACACATGTCATTCCAAACATTCACACATCGTTTCTTTTTCTACCGTATCTTTTGCACCAAGCACTTAAAAAATATTAATCCTTGCAAGCTCCCTATGAAAAAGCATTAACATTTCCTTGATCAGATGGAGAAACCACAGCTTAAAGAGAGGTTAACTCAACTGCCCAAAGACAGAGTGAGTTGATGACAGTTGTAGACATCAGTATCTTTCTTATACGAAGCACATTTATGTTGAAACCTGCAGAGAATGGACAGCTGTATAATGCTTTTCAATCCACAGCTATGTAAAAAGTCTGTTTTTAACTTGATAGTGAGAAGCAAACACTACATGGAGAGTAATGGTACTTAATACCAAATGCACACCTGATCACAAAGTGCAATCAGAGTCTAAAAGGAGAGCACTGTCCTTCTACGTACCTCTCTGGTGGGACCTACCACCACAAAATACATGACTGTACTCATTCAAACAAGTAAGCTAGATACACTCTGCCAGAGGAAAACATGCCCTTTGAGTCCTTTGGTTTGAACCTTACCTTTCCACAAGCCACCATGGACAGGGCAAGCTGATACCAGAGGTGAAATTCATCAAATGCAAACTTCATGGCTCTCTCCAAGCACTGAGAAATAAATGTTGGGAGAAATATCAGGCTTTTTTTTTTTTTAATATCTTTTGTCAAGACTGCCGCTTGCCTCAGTAGTCAAATCAGAGAAAATAATCTGTTGTGGTCCAGGGCCCAAGTGATTTTTTTTTTTAATGTTTTGGGTTTTTTTTAACGACATCATTTTCCTCTTCTCAGTTAATAGGCCTTGTTAGCATACACCATCACTTCAAATGACAGCCAATTTGTTCAAGTGCCTACACATAAATTATTTTAATGACTCAAACAGTTCTGTGCACATTTCTGGCCTGTGCTGCCATAGGTCTGTAGCTATTTCTACTAACTGCCAACTAGTGTGCTTCATTTTTACCTTCCCCAACAAGTTAATGCAAAGAGGGGCTTTGCTTGCACGTTTCCAGTGGAAGTTTCAGCAGAAGCCAGGAGGTACCTCAGAAAGCATGACATACTGCCCTCTTCTGCCCAGCGTGATACTGAGGAGGTCGTAGACTGCAGAAGCATCCCGGAGGCTGATAGCTCGGTCATCCTGCTGGTCTGGGGCTCGGCTGATCACTGCGTCCCGGTTTGCCTGGGCAGACAAAAATGAAGCATCAGACACCAAAGGAGCAAGGGACAACCGACCCCTCCAGAGGGAGTTCCACCCATCATCCGTGACATTTTGTTTAAAATAATCTCGAGATTCATAAGGAAGGTGTTTCCACAGAGATACTTTTTATCTACATGAAGCAAACTCAAGAAGATAGCTGTACATACAGAAAGGAACTGCTAGGAATACCTCATCTGGATTTCTTTCACAGAATTAGAGCATTAGGAAACAGACCTACCAAGTCCCATTTCCTCAATAATTAAAAATTCAAGGCCATCCTTAAACCACATTCCTTACTACTTCAGTTGTCTGCAACTGTGATAACTGCTTCCACAGTTGATACTTTACCTTCTGTGTCTGCACTTGACTTCTTCCCAATAGCATGTGGTTTTGTTCTTTTCTACTACACACTTTTTATTTTTTAATTTGAGCAGGTTGCCTTAGTAATCAGATTTGCCTGTCATCAATTTAATGCCATTAGAGGTCTGGGCAACACAATACCAAATAAATTTTTTTTTAAAATAATTTTATAAGTGTTAATTTTGCATAATCTATCAGTGCATTGCTCAGCCCAGATCAAAAAGAAATATTACTTTTGACAGAAAATGATCAGTCTAGCAATTTGTGAGGATGTCCCAAAATACCATATGCCATAGACTCAGATTTATCTCAAGATCCCAGCCTCTCTGTTTTCTGAGCACAAAGAGGGAGATTTCAATCCAAGGGTAAACAGGAAAGTCCCTCTGATTTCCGAACACAGAGGACTTCACCCAGACTGCCTAACCTCCGAGAGAGGCAGTGCTGGATGCCACTGAGTGCTAGCACTGACTGATAGCACAGATTCAGCTGAGAAGCCCAGGGCAGTTTAAGGGGTGCAACATCAGACATTCAGGTCTAGACATTTTAAAGATCAGAAAAATGAAGAAGATTGCCAGCAGTTTCACCTGGGGCAAAGGCCAACAAGTGTGTTCTCCCTGAAGCAGGAACGTTATGACATTTATTTTCTAATACTTACTGCTATAATCTTACATCTATTTCCTTCTAATTGTAGGGAGATTTTTTTTTCCTAAAAAGTTTAAACACGGGAATTAAGTGAAATAAAAATTTACAGAATATGCAGCCTGTAAAGCCCACGCATATCTCACTATGATTAAACTGCAGCTGTTTCATCATGATATTACCTGTGTAATGCCCCAGTTCCAAGCACTCTTCATCACAGCCTCCAGCCAAGACAGCAAACACAATTACTGACTACTAACGCAATCACAACCAAGAGCTAAATGGAGACTGCAGTTAAAGGCAAACTGACAGGTCAGACTCGGTCTAGGGTTTGCACAAATAAACCTTCACCAACTCTTGTAGACACAAAAGTATTTTTCTTTTTCATGTTATTGCAAAAGATGTAATTTGTGATTTAAAAATAGTTCAGAGCAACAGGTTGCACGAGAGAATGAAACCAACTTCAAAGAGAAAATCCTGCAACCAGAGTACAAATGCATAGCTCATCTACCTTTATTCGCAGAACTAACAAATAAAAATTAAAAAAAACCAAAAAAAACCCCCCAAAAACCCCAAAGCCCCATGTTTAAGGTCTGTTTGGATTTAACCCAAGACTGCTACTTTAGAAGAAAAGAAGGAGTTAAAGGCATGTACAAAACAATTCTGGGATTGCTACTTCAGAGAGTTAAAGACAAAGCATATACAGAATGATCCTTATTGCGGAGTGAATCCTCCTACATATATACAATGGCATTAACAATTTTTTCTGCACCTGTTACATTGTTATGACAATTGTTTGTAGAAAATAGCTACTGAGATAGCACCACCATGCTCTGTAATCCCATCATCAACCTCCAATTAGAGTCAGCTATAGCCTGATGCTTTTTTGGGTATCCATCTAGTACCAAGCTATGATTTTTTATTATTTTTAAGTTGATGCATTAGGAGAGATAGAAAACTAATCAGAACTGGTGAGTATCCATTAACATCTGCTAACAGATATTGGTACTAGAAGGAAGAACATGCCCAAATCCTGCAATAAGTAGGAATGAGAGACATATTACAAGGATGCAACATTCTAAAATTGCAGTCATACTGAACATACCGTACGTATCGTACTTTACCTAAGCAGAGAGCAGTTAAAAAAAAAATATGCATAGGCATGACTAATATTCCTTCCAAGAAGATCATAAACCTGCTTATTTTGTTCAAGCTTTCACATCTCAAAGCCACAGAAGGTCTCTGCAATCTATTGCTCTCTATACTTGCATGCATTAAAGTTGCCACTGAGCAAATTCATCACTTCCATCCCACCATTTTTGTTAATACAGAACCTATTTCCAATTGCTAATTCCAGCTGCTAAAAAAAAAACCAAAAAACCAAACCCAAACAAAAAGTTCCTGCATTATCACAGAGATAAAAAAAAACCCAAACAATATCAAAAGGTGCAAACCTCATACCAAACTGACTGAACAGTAGCAAGAACATGGAGTGTGTCTAACACGGTAATGTAAATCCTCATCCCAAGGCTCAAGGTATCCCTTACTATTGTAGTGTTACATACGGGAGGGTGGAGAAGGGAATGTGAATCACTTCCTAGAAACCCACTCAGGGAAATTGGCAAGTTTCTGTGGCCTGCCTCTCACAGAAGGACAGGTACCATGACCCAGATCATCATTAGCCAATATTTTTTTGTCTTTACCTGTTTGGTTTTGTAAACTTCAGTTTGGCAGTGAGAAAACCTGACAGTTGCTGGTAAGTACAGCTGCAAAGTAGTTGTAGAGTTACTGCAACGCAGCATACACCGATTCTGTTGGATGGGGAATTTTACTTACTGAAATGTATAGAGAGAGAGATACTTCATTTTGTATTTGAGAATGCATAAATACTAAGCCATTTACTCCAACATTTTTTCAATACTTGTGTTTCTCTTGCTTCAGACCACTAATTTTTCTGAATACAAGTGGAAGAAGGGTTATTTGTAGAAGACTGATCTCCAAACAGTATATCAATAACATAAGCAGCAACTCCCAATTTGTCCTACGGCATTACTTCCTCCTCCTCCACTATAAGCAGCAGTAAAACATAGCTACAAATACATTTTCAACACCTCCAGCATGACTCTTCCCTTTAAGCTGTTCCTATTGCCACCCAGACACGCCTCACAGCACACAAGCAGGACGGAGAGAGATGGTGAGTCACACCATTAAAAGAAGAGAACCTCTGTTCAAGGCTGTTGTGTGGGATGGAGAAGGTCACTAATGCAACCAACAGGAGTTTCACCATCAGGAGTTAGCATAACTTGCATTATACAGGGCAAAAATACACAGTCAATGCCCCTTTGAGGTACTCTTAGGTAATGGAACAACCCAGAGACGCATTGCATTTGCACATTAGACACCAGTAGCTGTGCATGCAGGTGGCTCAGACATGACACCAATCCTATCTGGGGAGATAAGACACATCCTGTAGTCAGCCCAGACTGAGCAGCACACAGGATAGCAAGCACCTTCAGCCCTCCCCTTCCGCAGCCCAGGGACACAGCCTGTCTGCAGGCCACACGCATCCAAAAGGCTCCAGCACAGGCTAGTACCCCTGAGCTGACCCAGCACTCAGCCATTGTGATGTCTCTGTATCATGCCTGAAGCCCAACTCAGGTGTTCAACCTGACCAGGCACAGAACCACCTGGGGCTCAGCAGGGCTTTTTAGGTGTGTCTTCAGACCCATGCTGGCTCTAACAGCAGGGAAGAGATCTGCCTTTCTGAGGATCTGCAATTTAACTACGGACTCTGCTGAGCTACAGACAGCTTGTACCTTCCTATCCACATAGACAATATACCTACCTGCAAACTAGATAAGCCATCTATCCACAGAGGATTTGCTGTACATCAATGGCCCTGATAATTACAACTTATTTATAGCATGTTTATTACATGTAGAAAGGAAAAGAGCCAAAGCAAATCCAAACTGCCATTACTTCAGCAGTTATTACACACTCAGTTACACTGTAGAAAATAAAATTTTACCACAGTACAAAGATGTGCTTCTTAATAAAATGCCAAGCAATCATATGAATTACAATAGAACATATTCCATGTAGCAGCCCCTTCTCACAGCAATTAGCTATGAAGTATCCTTAAATTGCTCACTTTGAAACATGGCTCCCCCTGGTTTGTTTTTTTTTTTCAAAGAAGAAAAAGAAAGCAATTAAAATCTTTAATGAGTGCCTGCTGCCTGCCCCCTAATTCATGGCCATTCTAATGTTCAACTTGTGTCTTTTCATAACAGACATAATTGCCAGATCCACTGCAACCCATCTATACAGAATGGCAGCATGTTTTACACAGTGTACTGTAATAATGTAATTGGTGTGATTCAATACTAGCATTAAGAGAGAAAAAACAAATGCCACGTGTATAAGATTGACAACAAGCCTTTGAAATCATGCAATTGATGCCTCTACTGCTAAGAGTTGGGAAATATTTAGCCCATATCCTTTGGGTCTCCATGCTGGCTGTTTTGCCAGTACTGCCAACAAAACGAATGAATTCTTCGCAATGGCAAGGACCCATTCACATGGAAGAGGCTATGGACTTTTCACTTAAGTTATTGACAATCTCTACACAGCACTTGAAGTTTCCCCTCATTGACATATACAAAGAAAATATTCAGGGTTGACTGCAAAGCTGCTGTGAAAATGGGGAGCAGGTAGAACAGGGAGGAAATACCATACCCCAGCCGCTCCCAAAACTCCTGTTACAGAGATACCACGACTTGCTCCACTTCAGACCAGAAGCACAGCAAATGAAAACTTACTGCCTTGTGAACCGTGTGGCATCCATCTCATTTCTGGTAAGCAACAGAGCACAAGTCACTGGTACCCCATTCAGACATCTCAGCAAAATAGCCCATTATTATTGGTTATCAAATATGACCATATAGATATATCTTATCTCTCACCAGGTATATTTTAACGTCTTG